ACTACCAAGTCAGAAGCTCTCTCACTTTGACTTTACTTAGTGAGTATATGCTTGCCCACGAGTTTGCATAATTCTGTAAAATAAAATTTTGGATATTTATGTTATTCCAATCCTACAAATCAATCTAACAACAATCAGAGATGCCAAAGATTATACACTCAATTCACCTCAATTGCAATCTCAACCATATGACATACCAAATTTCAACATACAATGAATAAAGACAAACCAAACCCCTAAGTCAACTCCACATGTCATGTTTCATCGGACAACTCAATTACACAAAAAAAAACTATCACACAAGTTATCATCAGTTAAAAATAATGTAATTAACTTTCCTTACCTAAGAGACAAATTAGACTCATCAAAACTTTAATACACCTCCAAGCACACAAAAAGCTCTATCTATTCCTACAAACAACACAAATACAATCAAGACACACCATAAAATTAACTGATAAGCAGAGACTAACAAATAAAACTAAAACACTACATGCGAGCCATAAAGTGTCACATGCAAAGAAAGGATGAACTTACAAATAAAAAGGACAAAAACTAACTAAATTAATCAATCTAAATTGAAAAGTTTATCGTAAGGATCAATCTTATGATCTCAGTTTTTAATTAGACGAGCAAAGAAGAACTCTTAGAAAGAAAAAAACTCTAGAAAAGTTATTTCTAAATAGATAATGTGCGTTAAAATAATAACATCCATTCGTAACAAAATTATTTATATTAAAATTTTTTAATATTAAAATAATTGAATATCACTATTTTTAAATCCGTGTCAGTTTTTGTCTTCACAATATCGTATTTGGTTTCAATATTTCTTTTCTCAATATTTTGATTTCACTTTTAAAAGGAATATTTTTCAAAGAATTTCATATCATGTAAGTCTTATTTTAAAATATGCCATAAAAAATTGTAGCTGTCATGGAACAAATATCGAAACTGATTTTTCTATAAATAAACTTTGTGATGGTTGGATTTCAACGATGTGGTCCTTTTTTTAGTCTAAAATTATATTTAGATCTTTAGACCTAGCACTCTCCACTATATATCTCAAGTTTACCATCTTCAATTCATTTAGATTTTTCTTCAATATCATTTGAATACCTTACTCTATATATCTAAGTGTTCGTACTTGAATATCATTATTTAAAATAAATGTTATGTGGATGAAGTTACACCGTTCGTTCTAAAGTCTCATTATCAAAGACGATCGAGTTTTGTCAAATTAGAAACCATTGTAGAAGATGAAAGACACGAGTTTAATTCATTTCCCAAGACTGGTTTTGTTTCTTTCCCTTTACTACTCTCTGGATTGTTGTACATTTTGTTGTGTAAAGGAGTGGTTTGATTTGGTGTTCAATCAAACAAACGTAAACAAAATTTTCCAGTATTATAATGGAATAATAAAGACTAAAATTAGAAATGTAAAAAATATTTTGTTAATTGTGTTACATATAGTATTGTTGCTGATAAAAAAATAGTGTGTAACTAAAATTAATTTAAGGCATCACCATGTTAGAATGAATTGAGCAAATAATCTCCAGTAGGAATTGTATTACGGACAAACGAACTCAATTTTCACTCGTTTTGGATTTGGTCTGTAAAAGTAGGTTGGTTAGGGCCAGTTCATATTTTTCATGGGAATTAATTTTTCAGATCCACCTTATCACTAGTACAGGAAGAGGAAACCACATCGGTCATTTTTGTCCATAGACAGCGGTTTCCGAACCGAGGCATATTCAGACGAGGTAAAAAGTCTACTTTTTTTAATTTCTGGTGCAGACCGAGGCATAAAATGGTAAAATGTTGCCTCGGTTATTGCCTTAACCGAAGCAATAGGTGTTTTTATTTTTTTTTATTTTTTATTTTTTGGTTAAATTGTTGATAAAAGAAAACCAAAAATTAGTGTTTAAACCAAAGACGAGATCGGTGGTTGTCATCTGTCTATTGCATAGCATGGTGGTTGCAGCAACACCCTCATCACTCACTACGAAGCAGTCCTTGAAGTTCCGTGATGATAAAAACCACCACGAACACAGCACACAGCGACTCCGCCACCACCAACAACTCTGTTTCCGAGTTTTGCTTCTCACTCTCTTCAAACTTCACATCAGGCCCAATTCACATCATTGCCACCGCCACCCCCTTTTTTCTCTCTGCAATTCAAACCCCAATTCAGCCACCTCTCTCTGCAAAAACCTTTTCTCCGATACCCTACCACCCCCTTCTCCTCTCCCTTCCACACCTCAAATTGTGTCCAACAATCTTCCTCGGGTTGGCAGAATCTGAAATTAGAAGATAACAGAGACAAATCAAACCCTAACATTTTGGAAAACTCTAAGAACGATGCAAAGTTAAGGGAAGCGAGAGCGACAGAGCAATGGAAGCGGGAGCGACGGAGCGAGATCGCGAGAGCGAGGGAGCGAGGGCGAGGGATCGACGGAGCGAGGGCAAGGGAGCGAGGGAGAGGGAGCGAGGGCGAGGGAGCCAGGGCGAGGGAGCGACGGAGCGAGGGCGACAGAGCGAGGGCGACAGAGTGACGGAGCGAGGGACTGAGAGAGTGACGGAGCGAGGGACTGAGAGAGTGACGGAGCGAGGGACTGAGAGAGTGACGGAGCGAGGGACTGAGAGAGTGACGGAGCAAGAAAGCGGGGAGGGAGGGAGTCAAATCTGGAGGAAGAAGGAAAGGAGGGAGAGCGAGGGAATGAGTCAGATCTGGAGGAAGAAGGAAATGAAAGGTTACGTTTTTTTGGTTAAGATACGTGCACATATGACTCGGTTCTATGCTCGCCCGAAGCAATACATGTATATTGGTCTCGGTTCTACACCTGACCGAGGCATATAGTCTCCAGAAAAAAATAAAAAAAAAATATAAAATGATTATATACCTCGGTTTCCGTTTAAATCGAGGCATAAACACTATTTCACACTGGTTCTGAATGAACCGAAGCCATAGGCTCTGCACAAAATTCAAATTTCAGAGACTGTTAGGGGGCAGGTGGGCTTTTAGGCTTCGATCGTTGCTTTAACCGAGGTAATATGACTTATATGCTTTGGTTGATTTTGAACCGAGACGTATAAGTTCGCTTAAACTACAAAAATGCCACCGCATTTTGATAGGCTTCGGTTTCACCTAAACCGAAGCCTATAACGCGAGTTTAAAACCAATTTTTTTACTAGCGTATATAACATTTGGTTTGTATAAAATGTTATTTACTTTTGTAACTTTTCCTTCAGTTGTAACATGTAAAATATTAGGATTTTAATAACCTTATTTAATATTCACAATTTTATAATTTTTAATTTTTAAATACAAATACGTTAGAAATTCCATATATATCTATATAACTAAACATAGATTAAATTTCAAGTAAAATTGTTAAAAACTGAAAACTAATCAAACACCATAAAAAATAAATTTAATTAATGACAAATCTACACATCATAATATATTACTACATTTTGAAAATAATTCATACACTGCAACTATACGAGTTAGTCTAACCTGCCCCATCATTAACCCGTGCAAGATGCGAGCTATGTGGAATGGGGTGTTACTCCCTCCACCACCACATTTTCTCCCTCCACCTCCCCAATTCTATTACATATTTTTTAAATTACAAAACTAACCTTTTATAATTACAAAAATAACATTTTTACTTTTTAATCCTAATTATTTACTTTAACCCTAAAATCTATCTTTTTATCTCTTCTCACCCACCTCCCAACCTTCTCAGATTCTCACCCAAACTCCAAACTCCATCACATCCGTTTCTCATCTTCCATTTTTCCTCCATATCCGTTTTCTTCCTTCTTCAACGATTCGGCGGTGGGAAAGGTGCGCGGCGCGACAGTGCAACAGTGCGGCGGTGCGACGCGGCAGTGCGACGGTGGTGCGATGGTGAGGTGTGGTGGTGCGTTCTCCCACAAGGTTAGTGATGATATTTTTAATTTTTTTTTTAATGCAATGCATATATCTCTGCTGTGTGTGCTACGCTACTCTGTGTTTTTTTCTGTGTGTGCGTGTGTTGGGAAAAAGAAAGAAGATAACCAGGCAAAAAACGGATGTCGGGTATCCGTTTAGATCTGAAACGGATGTCGACATCCGTTTCAGATCCAAACGGATACCCGACATCTGTTTTTTGCCTGTAGTTTTTTTAACTTTTAAGTTTATTATTAGTTTTTATTTTAATTTTTTATTTTCAATTAATTTGTTACATAATTATTATATTTTTATTTTTTTACTTTATTAATTTATTATATTTTAAATTAATTTATAGAGTATTTAAATTCAGTGTTTTTTTTCTAATTTATTTATTTATTTATATTTAAATTATAATTATTTTATTTAATGAAATAATTATTATTAAATTAATAAAAAATAGTATTAATTAATGAAATAATTATTAATTTAATTAAAAATATTTTTGTCAGAAATGGTAAGAACACGAGGTTCATCTTTTAGTTCTCGTGGAGAGACTTCTACAGGAGAAAGTTCTCGAGGAGAGAGTTCTGCACAGGGTGAAGGTAGGAGACGACCTACAGCTTCAGCTCGGAGAAGACGTGTAGCTCCAATTCAGGATGACCCTATAGCCGAGGACCGAGTGTTTGAGGAGGAGGCATATCACGCCTATGAAGGTCCTGTTCACGAAGAGGCATTTGAGGCTCCTCATGACGATAATGAGGAGGAGGAACATCTCGATGTTCCTGACATACAGGAGGAGGATGTCGGTGGATTTCCTGGAGGTCCACTTGATGCTTCATTGCTGACACACTATGTTCAGCATGTTGCTTATGGCATTTCGTAGGGCCGGGTGAGTGTATAACTTAAATTTTAATTATTAAGTTTTTTTCGAATACAATTGATATTAAATATTGTTGTGTAGGATCGATGGGAGATACTGAAGTTGATCTCCCATGGTTAAAAAATTAATAAGTTAGGACCGTGCACCGAAGGAATTCAACACATTGTGTTGAATTCTGCTTTGATGCCTCTCACAGATATTTTCTATGATTACGTTGATAAGGGCTTGTTGCTCGGTTTCATAGAGAGATGGCACTTTGAGACAAGTAGTTTCCATGTCCCTGTAGGGGAGATGTCGATCACTCTTGACGATGTCTCCACTTTACTTCACCTTCCAGTACTAGGACAATTATGTGATTTGGAGGAGTTGGAGTTTGAGGAGACTCGTACAACCCTTGTAGAACTGCTCGGCATTGATGGTGGCGCAGCTGGTGTTGAGACGGAGGATGCACATGGTCTGAAAGTCAGACTCAGCTGGCTAAGAGAGATATATGTTCAGAGGTGTTAGTCGCAACAGTGGGACTTTGCTGCCAGAGCATATTTGTTGCATCTAGTAGGATGCACGATTTTCGAAAATAAAAGTGCCACTTCTATACATGTGTCTTACCTTCTATTATTTATAGATGTAACGCGTGTGGTATATATGCTTGGAGTGTTCCTACACTCGCCCATTTGTACGACCAGCTCGGGGGAATGCGAGTTTGGGCTTCCACGAACAGATGGCTGGATTTCTGACTTTGTTTCAGGTACAGACATATACTCTTACCATTATTGATGTACTTATTTCGATGTTCAAGAAGAAAGTATTTAATTGAATAATTGCATTTTTAGAGTTGGACATACGAGTATTTTCCTACCATGGGAAGGAGGAGGTTGGTGTCTTCTTATGATGAGACCACACCACGTGCGGCTAGGTGCAGAGCCCTCGGCAGAGTTCGACTCTTGCGGAGATTCGGTCGCCAGTTGGATGGCCTGACATACAGTGGAGTTGTATGGCATCCATATGAGGGACATCGGGGCATTCGTCCATTCTTTGGCATTGGTATGTATTCTGATGGATTGGATTAGTGACACCCTTTCGTCATTTGCCTGAGCGTGTGATGAGGCAATTTGGGTTATACCAGGAGATTCCAGACCACCCACTGCGTTGCAGAAGCAGATGTAGTCGTGTTGATTATGCGTGGTTGCACTTCATGAATCACTTATTACGAATGTGAGACAAGCATCATACCTTATGAATGTGTCGATGGATACATACATGGTTTAGGAGGTTTCACATCCCTATATTATTCTTGCTCCACCTGAGCGAGACGCGCTCTTGCGCCTACACAGTCCCCGATGTTCCAAGGAGGCACGACCCCATCGTAGATCCTTTCCACCTTCACCATCTGGCTCGTGGATGCTATTTTTATGCTTATGTTATTAAATTTTCTTAACCATGTTTATTTATTTGTTGGATATAATTTAATGGAGGCTAGATTTGGCGAATGGAGAGAAGATTACAAGCGATGAATATCGTGTCGTCATGTGACCGAGGGTACTGTTGCACATAGGTGTCGGTGGACCTGCTTCAGATGCTAATGAGGGGCATCGATGATATCTCCAACTAGGAGAGGGCAGTACATGTGCGTGGTAGACGGTCGATGTCTAACTGATAGGATTTTGTATTTCATTTTTTTAACAACCTATGACTCATGAGATTGTGTTATTTTGGATACGCTAATGTTTACCTTAAATGTTCGTTAAATAATTTTATTTTCCAAAATTTGGCTGAAGTATATTATGTCATTGCCCTATTTTATTTAATATGATTTCGTTTTAATAAATATGGTGTACAGGTTTATTTCAACTAATGACTTAGAGTTGTATTAATTTTAATAAAACTCACATGTTAAAAGAATTGGTACAGTACTAGAATTTTCTACAAAGATTATATTATTCATTTTATTTGTATTAATCTAAAATACACCATAATACTACTTTATATGGAATCCTTGATGTGTCTTATTTAACGTAAATTATGTATATAAAATATATAATATATTATATTAGGTGTTATATAGGAGTTACATAAAGGGAAAAGAAGGGAGAGATATACACTAGGAAACACTTTAAACAAAAAGTAAATGTTTAGTATTTTAGTTGAATGAATTGTGTGGGTCCATCAAAAAGCTTAAAATACACCTATCAAAAGTAATAGTGTATTTTTACATATCTATAAATATCATGAATCACCCAAGTCAACATAAGATGTTCGTTACGCCCCATAGGTGTGCAAATGTTTGCATCCTACTAGTATACTACCATGACCACGCTCGTGCCTAAGATAACAGTGGGTTGAGGAGATGGTATTGACCATGGGCAAAGGACAATCTTCTTGTAAATTAACCTGCCACAATACAAATTACAATAGTTAATTAAGTTATAAGTAATTTTGAAATGAAATCACAAAATAATACAATTACCTGCACAAAATGACATAATAAATAAAATACATAAAATTGGAAACACTTACCGTCGACTGTGACTTCATAATCAACAAAGAGTTCCTCAGTTCTTCTAGTCTATCATACCCTCCTACTAGGCTTGCATATTCATCACGCCATTGACTAGTTTTTGTAAAACCATTTCTGATAACGGGCCATGAATTTCTCCGAGTCCCAACGAGGCAGCAATGCATCTATATCCACAGTGACCATCAGCCACAACATCAACAACGTCCACAATGAATGGGTGAGTAATAGAATGAAACTGGTCTATCATTGGACTTTCTTTTTCTTCACTACATTGGCTTTGATTGTAATTTACTTTTCATAGTTGAAGATTCTATGGTTGATTGAAAGGCATCGACATACTCAAAATATGATGGATCCCGGTAGTAGACCTTTCTCTTCGTTGAACTTTACATTGTTTTAGCATCCTTTGTCTTGACTTATGTAATGGAGGATCATTGATGTCAAGTAGGACAAGTAATTTCAAGTAATTTGCTTGATGGTGATTTTACCTCCAATGTCAACCTCATTGAATCGTTCTTGTACTTGTTTCAACTCATCTTTAATGGATAACTCGGGCTCAATTTCAGTTAATTCAACATTTGAGAAATGCAATCTTTACCACATGATATGAAATTCACCCAGAGGGATCAATCCAACATCATACCGTGCTAATTCACATGCACATGGGACACCAAATGTACGTCTCAATACACATCCACACTTTGATGAGTCCAATCCTATTTGCTGCACTCTTTCCAATTCCTTAGCAATGAGATCCAATGCATATTGAGAGACACCCAATAAGTTTTTTATATTTGTATCCTTTAAAAGGGTCACTCGAGAGCAACAACTTCTTTCAAATGACGCCTTAATCTTGTTGTGTTGTAGGATAACAACGTTATGAATACTATCCCAACAAGAACACAAATCACCCATACATTGCCCAGAACTTTTCTTCAGACTCCAATGAGCAGACTTAACTTGAAATAAATAAAAAAACATCAACAAGTGTAAATAAATATTTATCTACAAAACAAATAAATAAAATAACATTACAACATATCTATTTGTGGTTATGTCCCTAAATGCATTTACTTTGTTCGTCCAAAATTTTACAAGTATGACTGTACGGAATAATCCAAGTCTGATTCACATATTCAAAAACAAAGGCCATGATTGCTCGCGTATTGAAAACCATTCACATACTCAACAAAACAAGCTCTCATCCTTACAATCCATCACATTTGCCATGCATCCATCAACCCCCCAAACCTCAGTAGAATGACTAACATTTTGCATTTAGCTTTAACATTTTTAAGGATGTGGAAACTCACATAAACATCTGATATGACTCAGGGAATACATTTGCAATGACATTCTCAAAGCCAAGTCCCGGTCAGTGACAATGACTTTAGACCACCCTCAGATGTTAAAATAAACATTTCAGCTTTTCCAAAGCCATGTGAAATTAATCTTTCGTTTAGTAGACAAGAAAGCAAATGTTGCAGAGAAGTTTAACCCTGTAGAGTCATGCACCACAATCTCAAGCATGGAAATCTATATCTATTTGTTTTATATGTGGAATCCATAAAAATACAACATTAAATGAGTTTTAATTAATTTCACCGCTTCAGGAGTGGTCCAAAACAGGTCAATAACAACCTTTGAATCGTCGGCAACCTACTCCAATGATGTACCTATCCCGATCCAACAACATCATAAGTTGTTGTAGTTCAGTTCTGGACCCTCTCAATGATCGTTTATACGCTTGTCTTGCGTTGTAGATTTGTTTAATCGTTGTGACATTTCGATCATTATTTTGTTTGAGGGTTAATAAAATATTTGAAGGTGTAACTTTACTCTTTGTCATATCAACCAGTAATGACTGCTCACTCATATTTAACCTTCCAGCATAAGGATGTCCAACTAAAGTTTAAGCCAAATCATGGTTGTGATGTCCACACATCACCTTCAACACCCATCCATCACCGTCTGAACCTGGTTTACCCTTTAATCTAAACGGACACTCACATTTACGAGTGTCGTATACACTAGGCACCTCATTGTCTTTGTATTTTCGATATTTTCCTCCTCTTTCACATCCAAGTATGACGAACGTTTTTCTTCCTCGTACACCAGTAGATATATCAGATCTTACTATTACCACAACAAATCCTAAATCATAAGCCATCCCTCTTACCCATGCAATTAAGTGCTCCCGTGAACGAAATATTTCATTTGTGGTAAATTTATTTGTCAAATCTCCCTCTCCAACTTTGCCAATGAATGAAGAGAAATCAGATATCAAACTAGAACCAACTTGAGAATCCATATGAAGATATTCATCCATTTTAAACAATAATCACCTATAAAATTATAATAAATCTTATTAATATAACTAATAATTAATCAAACAAATATAAAAATAATAACATAATAAAATTATATATTTCATATAATTAAACTAATAAAAAACTTTTTATATAATTATAAAATTATTAAAGAATACAAAAGTCATATATAAAAATATATATTATACAAAAACCCTAACTATATATAGCGTGCAAAATAAAAAAAGTCTAAATATATACTAATAAGAATAAAGATCCTAAAAATTACATTATTAAAATACATCAAAATATATTCAAAAATAATATATCAAAAAATATAAATTATATTATTTAAATATCTTCAAAATTAATATAAGAAAAACTGTAAAATATAAACCGTATAATCTTTAAACGGATGTGAGCATCCGCAACAGATGTCAACATCCGTTTAAAGATTATACGGTTTATATTTTAGGGTTTTATTACGCACCTTCACGCCTCTGAACCTCTCACGCCTCAGAACCAGCACCTTGAAGCACCACCACACTCAGGGTTGAAGATGAATTGCTTTCCCCACTTTCAATCTTACTAAACACAAAGTCCACCACACTCTCACGTCACAATTTTATAAAAAAGAAGAAGAAGTGGAACATGAGAGATAACCCAAGGATAGTGGAATGTAAGAGACAACCTGGGAAAAATAATAAAGAGAAAGAGGGTAGAATGATAAAGAGAATGAATGTCTACGTGAGATTTTAAATAATATTAACCCTAAAATTTTAATAAGGGTAAAATTGGAATGAAAAAATAAAGAAAAGGGTAAAAGGGGAATGGGGTGGTGGAGGAAGTAAGTTGTGGTGGTGGAGGGAGTAACACCCGTGGAATGGACCTAAACGGGCAGACCAAAATAGTTAACATGTCTTACACTTTTTTGAGTTCTTCTCCGTGCGCCTCCAAAACTTTCTAGCTACACCTCTAAGTTCCAATCATACCCTCAACTAATTTAAAAACAAAGGTTGGTATGCAGTAATTATGATTTTACTTCTTACCAAAATTTTCAACAGCTAATGCTTTGCATTAAGTGTGTCTTTTTATCTTATATATTCGTTCTTTATTCCCTACCACTATATTTACTTCTTCTTTCCATTTTCACAGTTTTCATGTGGTCCATTGTTGGTGTGTTTCGTAGTGTTGGTTTCTCGTGGACAACATAGAGAGGAGGTGGAGGTGCATTTGTTCGTGA